CCGGCGCCTTCCCCCGTCCAGGAGGGCTCAGCCGGGCCGCCCCCGCGCACCCGCCAGGAGGCGGGAGGCTGCGGAGGTTCGGAACGGAGGGGATATAAGGGCAGAGGTGGGTGCACCGGCACGTCTCCACCCCCTGGCCCGTAGTAGCGTCCGTAAGACGGACCATCGCTGGGGCCGTAGCCGGAGCGCCTCAGGGCCGACATGGGCTCCGCTACCCAGAAGCGCTTCCCGCCCCCCACGGCCGGCTCCTTGCGCAGGCGCCTGCGGGGAAGAGGGATTGGAGAGCCGTGGAGAGGGTCGGACGACAACAGCCAATCCCGGGCCTGGTCCCGCCCCTTCGGCCGCCGCGCTGGGAGAACTAAGGGACGGAGGTTCCTGATGGGGTCTCGGACAGGACAGCGATGGGAGGAACCGTGTTCCTTGAGGGACAACGCACTTCCCCACCATCCGTCCAATCTAGATTCCTCTTCCGCAATTCCCAGGGACAAGCAAAGGGCGTCCCGGGAGGGCACGGCCGTCCCGCCTCTCCACAGGCACGTGATACCGGAAGTGGGTGGAGGTAATATGGAGGCGGTTCCGGCAGGCCCCGGCGGCTGGAAGCCGGGGCGGACGCGCGGGTCCGCTTCGGGGTTCTGTCCCGGTCCCGCCGAGGCAGCGACTGCGGCAGGAGCAGGGACGTGCTGGACGCCCTGGCCCCCCGCCGGTCAACGCTGCAGCCTCATCTCAGCTCAAGATGAACTACATGCCTGGCACCGCCAGCCTCATCGAGGACATTGACAGTGAGTAGCTCACGCGCTCCCGGTGAAGCCCGGGGTGGGACCCTTCCTCCGGGGCGTCACCTCTGAGGAAGGAGCTCGTAGAACGGGTCCTGGGTGGGGAGCGGGCTGTTGTGAGCTCCGTTCCTGGCGTTCCGCGTTGACAGCGTCCACGGGCACGGGACACACCGCTTGCTCGCCCACCACCCGGCCCGCTTCCTCTGTGCTGCCCCTCGCAGCCTCCGCCAGGCCCCCGTGAGCCACAAGCTGTGCACTTCACTCTTGCTTCCGTGGGTCGCGAAAGTGGCCTGGTGAATGGATGAGAATACTCAGACGAAGTATTCATCAAAAAAATGAAAATATTAAGGCAACAGCAGTTACATTTAATTGGCAGTAAAGTAGGCTTTCTACTGTGTACCCATTTGCAATCTTCTGTTACTGTGAGGATCATTAGCACTTTCAGGTTATGGTAGTAGAGACCACTGCCAGACGAGGTGTTGACATTTCTGGAAAAGGTAAGTCATCACTTTAAACTTTTTCTGTTAGACGGTTTTCTTTTTACTAAGAAAGACCTCCTTTCTTCCTAGTTATTGTTCTGAAGAGGAGCTCAGTTCTGTACAAAAGCAAGAGGAACAATTTACAGTTGTCCTATCTTTCCTTTTTCTAAATTCTCATCTGTGCATTATTCCTCAAGCAACATTGTCAAATGTTTTAATCGTGTGATCTGTCTCATTAAATTGTAATTGCTGCAAAATGGTTTACACAGTTTCAAACAAGTTACAGCTGTCTCTACAGTTGCTATGAGTGCAAATTAGAGAGTGAGTCCATGATTAAATTCTCATTTTATGGTTGTCTGAGATCATTTTTAAACCCATATTACTTATTTTGCTATTGAAGGGAAATGTGTAATTGGATCAAGTGCATATATTAACCACCACTGTACAAGCCTATCCAAAATGTGTAGTTGTTTGAGAATGCCCTTTTGTCCTCACCTCTTCTCATATATCCGAATTATTTGAAGCCCCTAATGTATCCTACCATTTTACTAAAAATCATTTCTGTTCTCAGGGCCTTTAACCCCTACCTCTTTGTAGGTTCCAGATCCTCTCCTTTACTGAGGTGAAACACCATTTGTTGTGCACCCTTTGCACCCCCATCCCAGCACACACACTTTCCCCTCTCCTCAGTCTTTCTGTATTTTCACTCTTTCTCTCATTTGAGTAGGAGTATTCCTCCCTTTCTGTCTGTGTCTGTTATGACTCTCTCCTCCCACTACTTCCTGAACCTTCTTCCTTTTACCTTTTTCTTTGGGGGGTGCGGTTCAGCTGGTAAGGGTATCTGAACCCTTGACCTTGGTGTTATCAACATTGCGCTCTGACCACCTAGGCCAATTCTCTCTCTCCCCCACTCTGGATCCTTCTCTTCATAAATGTTATTGTCTGCCCATCTTAAATTTTTTCTCAGTTGTGTCTCTTTGTAATACTCCCATCTCTTTTTCTATACCTTCATCCCCAAACCTCTTGAGTCATCTCCATTTTAACTCTTTCTGACCATCTTTAATAGACTACTTTTATTACCCCTGCAATCTAATTTTTGCCAACACACTACTGAAGCTTCATTCTGAAGAGTCATTTAAGGTAATGTGATCTATCACCACTGGATTCTTAATTCTTTTCTCTAACCCTGGTACTTGCTGACTTTCTTACCTCTCTGACTCTTATTCTGCAAAATAGATGGTCTCTTGGGTTGCATGTTTGGCCTGCTTCTTTTCTGTAGAAGATCTCCAGGACTTTAGTGATTATATCACCTCCTTTTAGATTTATCCAGAATTGCTTTTGCTAATTCTGATCTCTTTGGCATTCCAGTTTTATTATTTTCAATTTCCTGCTGACATTTCTATGTAGGTGTCCTGATAGCACCTCAGAATCACAAGGACCTAGTAACTCTCTCCACCCTGAGCTTGCTTCTTTTATTCCCAACTTTTAGTAAATAGTCTAAGTATTTCTCCTTTGCACGATTATTCAGAACTCCTGCATCTTCAGCATTCTTCACCGCCCCCATACTCACATATACAAACTCAATTAGTTGACAAACTTCATCACTTACAACTACACAGTCTTAGTCCTCTTATCTTCTCTCTTCCCATCTCCACCTTAGTTCAGGTCACTTCTTCATGTCTCAGATAGAATCTGGGAATAGCCTCATAATGTTACCCAACAAGGGCTCACTGGCTGATGTGCACAGCTTTTGTGCACATGGCACTGGTTTTTGTAAGAAGAAAGGCTTTATTCATGAAGTTGACTAGTGTGGAGACAGGAGAAGTACAACTCTCAAATCCCTCTCCCAGAACCCAGGGCTGAACAGGCTTTTAAAGGGGCACTAGTTGGTTAGAGCATAGTTCTGCTAACACCAAGGTCAAGGGTTCGGAACCCCAGACGGGCCAGCCACACACACAGACAAAAAAAGATTTTTAGGGCCAGCCCATGGCTCACTTGGGAGAGTGTGGTGCTGATAACACCAAGGCCACGGGTTTGGATTCCTATATAGGGATGGCCGGTTAGCTCACTTGGGAGAGTGTGGTGCTGATAACACCAAGGCCACGGGTTTGGATTCCTATATAGGGATGGCCGGTTAGCTCACTTGGGAGAGTGTGGTGCTGATAACACCAAGGCCACGGGTTTGGATTCCTATATAGGGATGGCCGGTTAGCTCACTTGGGAGAGTGTGGTGCTGATAACACCAAGGCCACGGGTTTGGATTCCTATATAGGGATGGCCGGTTAGCTCACTTGGGAGAGCGTGGTGCTGACAACACCAAGTCAAGGGTTAAGATCCCCTTTCCGGTCATCTTTAAAATAAATAAATAAATAAATAATGGGGCACTAGGTAAAACTGATTGGCTAGCTCTGAATCAGTCCATGTGATGAGGCAATTCTGAATACAATTGGTCTGGTTGGTCTAATCTGGATCCAGCACCTTGGTGGAGAATGTTCAGGCTCCTGAGGTCATCTGGAGGGCATGGTCCTTTCTCTCTCTGCCCAGGCTCAGCTTACACCCTGCAAGAGAGCTTTGAAATAACTTGAGATGGGAAAATGAAACCTGTCTCAGCTAGTTTTAGAAGCTTACAATTCCTGCCTTTTCCTTGTACAGTCCTCAATTTTGAGGGATGGGGGTGATGATCCCTCTGGCTACTTCCTGCTTGACAGGGATGTAGTTAGGGACATGAGGAATGAAATTGTTTTGCACTTAATTGCAGTTTTTCGTGAACATTTTCCAATTGAAAATAGAAATGTTCATTTGCCATCATGTTATCAGGAGAAGCTGATTTGCATATATGAGTCAGATAACAAATACAGGATTTTACTAAGAGAAAGAGGATTCCTAATATAAACAATAGCACTATTTCCTGCTTATGTGGGCCCTCAAAGCTAGACCAGATTCCTGACTGGATCCATGAAAACATGCTCTCAAATAGATTAAATCCATACTTTTCAAAAGACACCTCTTAGAGCCACGTGGCTTGCTGTCTAATTTTCTTTACATGAGTCTCAACTGCTGCAAAAGAATTAATGTAAACACAACATGATGTAGTAAATATAGCACAACCAATACTCCCATTGCGAGAGAATTAATCCCTCTTTGCTGGGCCAGTGAAGTCTCATTGGCAATACCCCTAAAGTGAGAGAAAGTTTCCTGACCATGCCATGGGCTGCTGTACCCCACCAAGGCAAACCAGTGCACCCAAAGAAATATTCTTTTGAGTCCCCTTTATATCTAGACAAGTACTTATCTGGTGTCCCATAAGTTGGACCTCCATCCAATATGAATTTTTTATCCTTGGGGGAAAAAGTTTTAAAGAACTAGTGCAATGTTGGATTTCATTGGGCCTGTGTATGGAAAAGGGACTATTTAGATACCCCCACAAGTGCCTCCTATACTCCAACTGTTAATATATTCATAATCGCATGGGGAACCTCGGTATCGTCCACAGATAAAGAGCTATCTTGGAGGAGCACAGAGCACATCAGACAAGTTGTGGACATTTAAATTAGTATCATGAGGTAGAGCTTTAAGGATGGAATTGCCAAAGACCTCTGTTTGGCTCTCATGGCTCAAGCCTGATCTAAATAGGTATTCAGTTTAAGGGTTATGCTGGTGGCACAAGCCATAGTGATCTGGAGATCCACTAAAGAAATGTAAAGATTAGGAAACCTTGGAACAGTAACAGCTGGGCTTGCCCTCTGCCATTCAAATGCCCCAAAACCGGCAGCTAGCTGTCCCACAAACGCATCATGCATTCCTTTCCCCAGAGTATTTTCCTTAATGTATTTGGTGGCAGATTCTAGAGAAATAGCAATATCAGCCACATTTTAATTAAGTCCTCTATAGTATTAAAGTCAGGGGAAAGGTACGTGCAGCATTTGGTTCTGTTTGGTACCATACACAAGCCCCCAACTTGGGGAAAAAAAATACACAATGTTCCATTAAGTGAACACAATATATCTTCTGCAGGCATCACCCAAGCAGGTTTTCTACATGTGGTACCAATTAGGCTACCAATTAAAAAGGTAAGAGCATTACTTTAAAAAAATCTAGGAAAGCAGTAAGTGGTGATGCGTAAAATATCAAGGATAACTTTACATTCTTCCTTTGGGGTATTAGAGTGTCCTTCATTAGGAACATGGAGCAGTCTCGACATTAATGAAATAGTTTTCTGGCTCTTTGACATATGCCCTCAGAACTAACAGTTACTCTGGCTTCTTACTAGAGAATAAGCTTTTGCTAAAGCCATTCACAGATTATTTGTCCCATGGGTTTTCCTTAAAGTCTCCAACAAGTATACAGTTCCAGAAGTCTAGAGGTGTGATAAACCAGGGCCTGAGAGATTTTTATCATGGAGTTATCTTTTCAAGCCTGGGTGAATCCCATGAATCCTATCCCCAAAGGATTGCTGCTTTGAGAATGAGAGTAAGAGTGACCATTATGTCTGTACAAACTATCAATTACAGGATACACAAGATAAAC